TATGAGCCGCCACACCCAGCTAATCGTGTGTTTGTTTGTTTGTTTGTTTGTTTGTTTTAGAGAACACCAGACTGGTCTCGAACTCTTGGGCTCAAGTGATCATCCTGCCTCAGCTTCCCAAAGTGCTGGGAATCGGGCATGAGCCACTGTGCCCATCCTTACACTACATTTTTTTTTTTTTCCTTTTTTGAGATGGAGTCTCGCTTTGTTACCCAGGCTGGAGTGCAGTGGTGCAATCTCTGCTCACTGCAACGTCCATCTCCAGGGCTCAAGTGATTCTCCTGCCTCAGCCTCCCGAGTAGGCTGGATTATGGGCGTGCATCACCATGCCTGGCTAATTTTTGTATTTTTTTAATAGTAGAGATGGGGTCTCACTGTGTTGGCCAGGATAGTTTTGAACACCTAACTTCAAATGATCTGCCCGCCTCAGCTTCCCAAAGTGCTGGGATTGCAGATGTGAGCCACCGCGTCTGGCCCCCTTGTACTACCTTTATATGTCTTGCCTGATTTTTTCTTCTGACCAGATTTATAATTAAATAACCTTTTTTTCCTTACTTTCAGGAAATTTTAATTTATCACGAAATTAGTTCTGTTGTTAATATATGTTGTACATATTTACTCTAATTTATCTCTTTTAAAATGTTTTGTTTCTTCACCAGACGCGGTGGCTCATGCCTGTAATCCCAGCAGTTTGGGAGCACCTGAGGTCAGGAGTTCAAGACCACCTGGCCAACATGGTGAAACCCCGTCTCTACAAAAAACAAAAACTAGCCAGGTGTAATGGTGCGTACCTGTAATCCCAGCTACTCAGGAGGCTGAGGCAGAGGAATTGTTTGAACCCGGGAGGTGGAGGTTGCAGTGAGCGGAGACCACACCACTGTACTCCAGCCTGGGTGACAGAACAAGAGCCTGTCTCGGAAAAAAAAAAAAAAGTTTTATTTTTTAATATATAGATACTTCAGTGGGACGTAGGAATGATCTGGGTCTATTTTTTCTTTCTTTTATTATACTTTAAGTTCTGGGATACATGTGCAAAATGTGCAGATTTGTTACAAAATAGGTATACACGTACCATGGTGGTTTGCTGCACCCATCAACCCATCATCTACATTAGGTATTTCTCCTAATGTTGTCCCTCCCCTAGCCCCCCACTTTCTGACGGGCCCCAGTGTGGGATGTTCCCCTCTCTGTGTCCATGTGTCTCCTTGTTCAACTCCCACTTATGAGTGAGAACATGTGGTGTGTGGTTTTCTGTTCTTGTATTAGTTTGCTGAGAATGATGGTTTCCAGCTTCATCCATGTCCCTTCAAAGGACATGAACTCATCCTTTTTGATGGCTGCATAGTATTCTGTGGTGTACATGTGCCACATTTTCTTCATCCAGTCTGTCAGTGATGGGCACAGCGACTTGGGTCGGTTTTCCAGGGACAGGTCTCTCTGCAGATTGCTACAGCCTCCTTCGGTTTGTGCATATCGCCCTCAGACAAAATGTCAGCATGTCTCTCAATGAAGCTCTTCAATCCACAGCCTTTTTTTTTTTCAGCTCAGTTTTTTCTGGTCAATACAAAGCTGACTGCAGTTTTTGTTCTCTTTTCAATTTTGCAATTTTTCTTCTCTGTGCTTGACCTCTGAATTGGGATTTGTGTTGAGGTAAAGAATTATAATAACCTGCAGAGTCTCCCTTAAATCCGATACCTCCTCTTTCTCTTTCTCTCTCAGAATGGAGTACTCCAGAGCAATGTTCTCCACTTCTCCCATGGCATCATGACACCCCTAAATCTCTCTTCTAATTAGGATATTCTTCTCTGGGCTCTCAGGTCCCTGGAGGTCTCAGGGACATTGGTGCCATGTTCAGTGTCTAAAAGGTAAGGTTTTTGCTCTTTGTACTTCTTCAGTTTGGCCTAGATGTCCTTGTATTTGTCAGATATTTTTCACAGTGATTCCTACATTATTTTAAAGTCAGTTCTCTCACCTATTTTAACTTTTTGTCTACATAGAAGATATCAGAGACAGGATATATATAATAGTATTTTATTCTTTCAGGAAGCTATAAATATATTTAGATTATTACAATTTGTACAGACTTCAAGCAGAAATATAATCACACCATTTATGACAGGTTATCTCCATAAATAGATATTTGAATTGGCTTCCAAAATGACCTTAGAGATGTACTTACTTAATGGCGGTGGCCTTGATCCTTCTGTGATTAGATGATAACCCAGCATGTGGCCACAGTAGCAGAAACACAGAGTATGTGCTGGTTAATTGGCTCTACTTGCTTCATGTATTATTACAGCGTATCTGCTGCTTGTGTACTGTTACATGCCAAGCTTCTCAATGATCAGAGAAGAAATCAGGTGCTGGGTGGCAATGCAGACCCAAGAAGTGTCTGCTTTTCTGTTTTTCCACATGAAGTCATTACTCAGCATTCTTTTCTTCCTTTTCAATAGTGAAGAAGCCCATGGTATGTAAAGCATGAGTAAAGTTCAAATAGGGTCAAATTCCAAAAGGTAGCACAGAACTCTTCCTCCTAGCCGTGTTACTCTGGCCGTACGTGCTTGTATCATCCCATGCAGCTGGGAATGGGGGCTGCCATTTTCATTTTGATCAATCATCCCTCAAAAGGGCATTTAGAGAGTCATTAGAGTCTAGAGTTGTGAAATGAGTAGAATAACAGAAGGTAGCATGTCAGAAGACCGTGGGCAGCCCCCAGGCTGTATTTGCAGTCCCCGCTCTGCATAATGTGTTCATTTGGTATGTAATGATGCACGCACGTAAGAGAACCAAACACTCAAATGTTTTGACTATCATCAAAATTATACCTTAAGTTTCAATGTACTTATGTCTTTGAAAATGGTATTTTACGGACCAGAAATGTACATAGTGTTCTGTGTTTTCAATGCACAAATATAAACCTCACGCATGTAAATGTAGGCCTCCCTGCTGGGCTGTATTCATTCCTTCCATAGACCCTGCAAATACTGTAGAGCTATCCAAACAACATCTAAACTTCAGATGGAAAATTCCTAACTTCTAATATTACATACATTCAACTATTTTGATATAAAAAATAGGGAGAATGACAATCATTGTAAGAGAAAGAAATATATTTCTCAATAAACACAGATTCCTTAACACGGACCCTTTCCTGAAGCTTCAGAAGACACCAGCAGTGGAAGGTTGTAGGATTCATCAATGGCTAGGGCTGGTTACAGGAAGATATTATGATGCTTTGAAGGTTGTCCTGGTCATCTTTACAAAATATATGTCAAACACACCTGCTGAGACTTACAGAACGCTGACAGAGGGTAAGAGACTAGAGAAGGAAAAGCTTTGAGAAGATAGCTGAAGACATTCAGAAAAGATGGTAACTAATCAAATAAACATCCTCTTCCGTGCACAGTGTCAAGAATGCAGCTCTGGAAACAATGCCTTTGTCATAGCGCTGTTAGCCGTAGGGTGTGTGCCTTGCTCCTCTTGTGCTTCGGGTTTGGAGAATTTTTGTTTGTTTGTTTGAGACAGAGTTTTGCTCTGTCGCCCAGGCTGGAATGCAGTGGCGCAATCTCGGCTCACTGCAACCTCCACCTACCGGGTTCAAGCAATTCTCTGCCTCAGCCTCCTGAGGAGCTGGGACTACAGGCGCCCACCACCACGCCGGGCTAATTTTTTTGTATTTTTAGTAGAGATGGGGTTTCACCATCTTGGCCAGGCTGGTCTTGAACTCCTGATCCCATGATCCACCGCCTCTGCCCCCCAAAGTGCTGGAATTTCAGGTGTCAGCCTCCGCGCCCAGCCTGAGAATTTTAAAAAGAAGTAGAAAAGTGCTATTCTTGATTAAGCAGCTGTCATATCCGACACTGGAGAATGTGGGCACAAGCTCACATGGTTCATTTCTGCCCCCTTGCAATTTATACAGTATTGTCACCACTCTATGGGGAATCAATGAGAATCGTGGCAGAAAAGTACTCTGCTGAATGGTGAGGCAAATATAAACCTGGCCTAAGTGAATCAGAAAACTCTCTATTTGTAATACACTTTACTGGCTCCAGGACTGGAAATTTTCAGAAGTAGTATAGGCAAGGACTAAGGATATCGAGGGTTCTTGGGTGTGCTTGGAGGAAATAATATGTAGTGTGTTGGTCCTGGCTGAGTGCAGAAACAAGGGAACGCAATGGGGCTTGACAGCTTAGGAGAAAATGGAGGAAGGCAAGAGGTTGGAGGACTTAGTGGATTCATGGAGAACAAATGGAAATATGGAAGGTAGAAGGAGACTGAGAAGAGGCAAGGCAAAGTAGGTGATGAAATTACCCAAAGTGTGACTCTGGGATTGGGTTGCTGAAGAAGAGATAATAAATTCTTTAAAGTAAGTAAGAGTGGTAAATTGCTTATCCCATGTGACTTATTAGAGACAGAATCTGAAATATAATATGGGTTTACATTATGAAATTTGGTGCATTATGCCATAAGAATGCTGTGTCTCTTAATCCATTATGTTCATTAAGGTGGAACTTTACATGTGTCTCAATATCTGAGTATAATCTTATGCAATAAATAACAGAAGTTGTATTCTCATCACCAATTTGGGGTGTGCTGATTTTGTTTCCAAGTTTATAAAATGAAAGTCTTGATTGTTGTTGGTTAAATATTTGGAAAAATTGCGGTTCAAGAGCAAAGTTATGTTTTTTACTCATCAGATTTTTTGAATGAAAAATTATGTGAACGAGGTAACTTTTGTATGAATTTTTAATTTTTAGTGAAGTTACTTAAGTTATGTTTATTCTCTAAAATATTATCAGTCACATTAAGAAAAATCATAGAAACATGCTTTAAAGATTCTATTCACAAAGGCAGATTGGGGTATCTCACTTGCCTTAGAACCTAATGTCATACTTTAAACTTAAGTTTATTTAGTGCTCAAGACTACTGTCAATTTTTTTTAAATTATGAAACTAGGAATCATTGTTCTATTAAAAGTATTTTTCTCTAACTATTCACAGTAACACTGAACAATGCAGTTTACTTACATCTTTTTCTGTTTGACACAAGACAGTTATTGGTAAGTATAATTATTAGATATAGTTATTTTCCATGTTTAAAATATGAAAATATGCAATATAGGTTGGTACTAGGAGGGGAAATCTGCTTCTGATCAAAATTTTATTTTAAATATCATTTTTATTTCTTTTGTCCTAAGTTATATACTTTTTCTTCTATTACTTATTGTGAAGTTACTTTAAAACAAAACAAAATCAAGGAAAGCAATCAACCAAGATTTAAAAACTAATAATGGCAGAATCTCCTCAGTTCTTTCCTCTTCTCCACATAATAGCAGAATCTCCTCAGTTCTTTCCTCTTCTCCACTCCATCCTGCCTTCACAGATTTTTTGGTTTCCAAGGGTAGTGGAAACATTTTAGATATTTACGCCAAAGGGAATGGATCTGTGATACCATGGGTCCTGCCAACTGAAGGCTTCCTTTAGCCAAGATAACTTACTGTGGAAGGAAAGTAACTCTTCCAATCCATGGTTCTTAAAAGTATAAAATTATACTTTTATGCTTTTTAAATTTTAAATGAAATGTCCCACAGCTTTCAATGCACACCCAGTTCAGAGAACTTGAATCTCATCCAACATGCTTCCACAGTGATCCCAGTCTCAGAGGACTATGCTGTTATGGAAATGCATAGGTTGCTTTCTAGGTAATAAATGATAAAACTCTTCATAGAGGAGAATTTGGTCATCGGTGTGTTTCTCTATGTATTGAAGGTCTGCTGTGAAATCTCTCTGGAATCTCTCCGCTGGTCTGTACCACGGTACCCTACTGGTCTTGGGCTTTGTATATTAACTTTCCAGAACTCAGGCTTGCTACAGACTTGCTTTAGGGCCTCTAAATATTTGTTTCTTTTGCATGCCAAGAGTTTTATCCTTATTTTTGGAGACAGAAGAGGATGTGAGTGTTGAATTGTATTTCAGAAAAATCAGTCAGGTTACCCTTGGGACATCAAAATGATCAAGGCAGTAGATACAGTGAGTGTCTGCTAAGTATTTGCTGAGACTCTGGTATGATTCGTGTAAGTCTCAGGATAGTTATCTGAACGATGTCCCCATGGCAGTGGACTCCTGCACATTCACAGTCCTGGAAGGAGCCTGTCCACATTGGCATTCCGGAAGTCCATAAAAGACAAACGCATATGCAGTCCCGAGAAAGCATTGTTGTAAACAAATCTGCACTAGATGGAAATTCTTGTTATGCGGTGCTGGCATGCATGGAAGCGTAAGTCCAGAACTACATCTGGAAGTTCTTTTAGCATCACAATTCCTTTTTATTTTATTTATTTCATTTTATTTTACTTTAATTTCTAGGGTACATGTGCACAACATGCAGGTTTGTTATATAGGTGTACATGTGCACAACATGCAGGTTTGTTACACAGGTATACATGTGCCATGTTGGTTTGCTGCACCCATCAACTCGTCGTTTACATTAGGTATTTCTCCTAATGCTATCCCTCCCTCAGCTTCCCACCCCATGACAGGCCCCCACGTGTGATGTTCCCTGCCCTGTGTCCAAGTGTTCTCATTGTTCAATTCCCACCTATTAGTGAGAACATGTGGTGTTTGGTTTCTGTCCTTGCGATAGTTTGCTCAGAATGATGGTTTCCAGCTTCATCCATTTCCCTGCAAAGGACATGAACTCATCCTTTTTTATGGCTGCATAGTATTCCATGGTGTATATGTGCTACATTTTCTTAATCCAGTCTATCTTTGATGGACATTTGGGTTGGTTCCAAATCTTTGCTATTGTGAATAGTGCCAGAATAGAATACGTTTGCATGTGTCTTTATAGTAGCATGATTTATAACCCTTTGGATATATACCCAGTAATTGGATCGCTGAGTCAAATGGTATTTCTGGTTGTAGATCCTTGAAGAATCGCCACACTGTCTTCTACAGTGGTTGAACTAATTTACACTCCCACTAACAGTGTAAAAGCATTCCTATTTTTCCACATCCTCTCCAGCATCTGTTGTTTCCTGACTTTTTAATGATTGTCATTCTAACTGGTGTGAGATGGTATCTCATTGTGGTTTTGATTTGCGTTTCTCTAATGACCAGTGATGATGAGCATTTTTTCATGTGTCTGTTGGCTGCATAAATTCTTCTTTTGAGAATTGTCTGTTCATATCCTTTGCCCACTTTTTGATGGGGTTTTGTTTTTTTCTTGTAAATTTGTTTAAGTTCTTTGTCGATTCTGGATATTACTCCTTTGTCAGATGGGTAGATTGCAAAAATTTTCTCCCATTCTGTAGGTTGCCTATTCACTCTGATGGTAGTTTCTTTTGCTGTGCAGAAGCCATTTAGTTTAATTGATCCTGTTTGTCTATTTTGGCTTTTGTTGCCATTGCTTTTGGTGTTTCAGTCTTTGCCCATGCCTGTGTCCTGAATGGTATTGTCTAGGTTTTCTTCTAGGGATTTTATAGTTTTAGGTCTTACATTTAAGTCTTTAATCCATCTTGAATTAATTTTTGTATAAGGTGTAAGGAAGGGATCCAGTTTCAGCTTTCTACATATGTTACCCAGTTTTCCCAGCACCATTTATTAAATAGGGAATCCTTCCCCATTTCTTGTTTTTGTCAGGTTTGTCGAAGATCAGATGGTTGTAGATGTGTGGTGTTATTTCTGAGGCCTCTGTTCTGTTCCATTGGTTTATATATTTGTTTTCGTACCAGTACCATGCTGTTTTGCTTACTGTAGCCTTGTAGTATAGTTTGAAGTTAGGTAGTATGATAGCATCACAATTCTACACACATTTGCAGGAATGATTTTTTAAAAGACAACCTCAATTCTTAATGATTTTTAAATTTTTGTAAAATAATCAAATGCAACCAGTGGACTGATTGAATAAATCTACTTTTCCCTTTTTGTTGATGGGCCCTAAATTTCCAAGTCTTCTGTGTATAAGGTGGGCTTAATTTTAAGAATAGTCATTTTGAAGTTAAAATAACTTGTTTTCTTTATACGCAATTTTAAAATTCAAAATGCCATATCAGCCACTTTATGGATAATATCTCACATACTTCTTTCTCTGAATATGAGAATTTCTTTAATTTAATGCGAAAATGTTTCAACTTACAATGGCATATTTTAATATAACATCTTTAATTTCCAACTTTTTTCTTTTGGATATACTTTTATAGAAAAGAATGCAGCATTTATTAAACCACTATTTTGCTTCATCTATTGGCAGCGTGTTTAAGGAATTCAGTTTATACCTTGTGGGAATCTTTCTCAGATAAGCTGTATATCAAGTAGTTTTGTGGTTTTTGAAAGAACTTTTTGGCATTCAGGGCCATTTCTTGTGCTGTACAAAGCAACCCTTAGTGCCTTCTGGAGAGCAGACTACTTAAAATTTATATGAACACATTTGATGTAATATGTATGTTTGGAATCACCATTGAACTATTTCTCTATTTAATTGGGGTGGTTCTTGCTAATTCACGTGGCGGACATTGGCAGCTATTTTCAGTCTACCAATTTTTTCTTTGGAGGACATAGTAAAATCTCTGCTTCCGTAAATGTTTCCACTTTCTGAATGCTGCAGTTTTCCTTTCTTCTTCTAGCTCTTTCTTAGTGGGCAGAGAGACCAGGAAATGCTAGTTGTGCAATGCAAGCCTGGCAGGCGAGCACACCTCTCCTCCCCAGGAACCGAGTAAGCCATGATGCTCAACTCCAATGACTGCTGAATTTTAACAATTGAACCCTTTCTTTTTACCCCTCATGTCACATAGAGCATATGCCCTTGAACAGTCAGGAAATCAAGTATTGCTTCCATTCTGGTCATGGTGTTAGAAATGCAGGGTTGTATCTCTTTACCTCAACCATTTCTGTCTCCTCCCTCTGCTCCTAGGAAGCTGCTGACTCACCCTTTTCTTGACAAGTCCTTCTGGGTAGTCTTCCTGGGTAGCACATCTAAAATGAACCCCAAACTGTCACACTTTCTGTCTCTTCCTGTCTGCCACATC